TAAAGTTAATCTACATTAGTAGAAATGGGCATTAGTCACATATACGTATATACATATTTTGATACTGAAAATATAAACGTCAAACAAACGGCAACACGAAAAGACATCTTAATACGAGACTACCAGTTCGCCTAAAGATTGGCTTGACTTGAAGGCTCAAGATTGTCGTACCATTTGTGAAGTGACCTGATTGCCCGAGATCCGAGGATGACGTTGCATCGCATTGCTGCGGGGTCTCAGACTTGGAAAAAGACCCCGCGCCAGCAGCCTCGCTAATTGCTGTCCCATGCAACATGCAACCAACTAACCAACCGACCTATCAACCGACTGACAACGAGCAATGTCGCGAACAAACTGTTTCTTCGAGGGGGTAGCGGATTATCGACCCGAGGGTTGCGACGAGGAGCACTCGGTCATCCCCGTGACTACCGTCTCCCCCTTCTCCAACGTTTTACCATGGAAACGGAAGCGATGTTTTCGCTAAAGTAGAAAAAGAAGCAATGAAAAAATAGACTCAAAAACAAACTACTTGGCGTTTTTAGAAAAAAAGAATTTTTTTATTTTGGAGAATATTTTTTTCTTTTATTTTTCAATGTAATTTTCTTTTAATTAGAAGAACATATAATTGGCGACGGTTGAAAAATATATGTTCACTTCAAAACATAAAGTGAAGTTTCTAATAATTGATATTGCGATATTAAAATATTTTTGAACTAACCTCGTCTTCTCTCGAATTTTAAATAGATCACATATTAAACGAACTATTTTTATCCTGATTTCAAGAAATTAGATTTTACGAACGTTACGTTGTAGTTCCATGAATTACTCAGGTTGATTTAAGTGGAAAATCCTTCTTAGTTGTCATTCTCTTTCAACCGCATGTTGACGCATAATTTCCAATAACATCTTATATAAGAAGGTACTAACATAGTATGAAAAAATATAGATATACAAGTATAAAGTACAAGTGCACATGTTTATGAAAATTTAATCTTCTTCCTATCCTTCGCGGTATTTTCTATAGTAAATAAATTATCTTACAAGAGAGATGCCAGAAACACAAATATATTCATAAAAAGGGCATAAATGTAAAAAAAATTATAATCATTAATTGTAAATTTTTATATCAATAAGCAGATTTAAGCAAATTCTTCGACTTTGAGCAAATTCCAATTGATTCAATCAGTGATTAATTCAAGTGGCTTAAAATAAAATTTTCAATATTCAATTAATTATTCTTAATTAAAAATATTTTAAACGTAATTTTATTCACTAATTTAATTAAAATATTTAAGTTTTATGTTAATTACTTAATTACTTAATGATTAAGTTAATCGAAGTTTGGTCGAAGTTGTTTTTATAGAATTTCATGTCTGTTTGCTTCAATAATGCGACATCGAAGACATCGTTCTTCTAAGTCTGGCGGCATCTGTTGGAGAAGCTTTCAAGCCGTGAATCGTACAAAGATAAGTATAACAAGATGTATTGTGTCTTTAATCAGAGATGTACGTACATAGTGTTCCTCATTTCAATTTATTATACGTACACTATCAAACTCACGGTAATCGTCTCCGAAACATAAATGACTTTCACGAGACACATTTATCAAATTATTTCACGTAATTTCGTAAATTAGACAGGAAAATGATTTGTGATGAAATTGCAAAGCGCCGAGAGAATTCGCGATTACTGGCACAGGCGTCGCAAGGCTGGCACGTGGGGTCAAGGATAGTACGGCGCGTAAAAAGAAAAAGAAATAATAGCTGAACACACCCACGAATGAAGTAGCACGCAATCGCGTTTTTCGAGTCGAGCCTTTTTGTCCCAAGAAAGACGACGATTCATCTTCCCTTCCGAGACGGCTTTTTTGTTGTCGGTTGAATCTACCTACGTGATTCACGCAAAGATGCCATCAACGAAGAAACGCCTGATGTTAAGAAGATTAATTATTTTTTTCCTTGTATTCAAAATAATGCAAAACGTGATATTTGGAAGATTAAATATTCTTTTGCGATCACTGTAAATTAAAAATTAATGTTTTGTGCGATATATAGAACATGTACAGTTGAAAAGTTTAAATATTTGTTTATAATAAAAATTAAAATTTGGAATGCATATATAATGTATATATAAAATATTAATCATGTTTGTATAATAAATTTTAAACTAAATAAAATAGAACATCTGTGATTTTTTAAAATTCAATATGAAAATATTATGTTTTCATTATAGTGGAATTTTATTTAAGTATTAGACAAATTGTAACAGAATAGATTAGAATTAGAAATTTAAGTTGTATATCTAATCATATATTTATACATATCCGATGTACATATATTACATCATATCGTTCCCTTACTTAAAAAATGACACAACTAAAAAAGATTTTTTAAAAATTATTATCATGGATGAGTTACATAAATGTTAACCTATTAATCATCCAAAGCGAACTAACTCAAAAAAATATTATCAAAATATTAAAAAAGATGATTTAAAAAATCATCACATCTAACAAAAAAAAGTTGTCAAGGATTGCAAAATAAAGTGGCAAAAATAACATTTAATCAAATGAAGAATATATTTTCTTTGTTATTTTCATTTATTATTATTAATTAACTAATATATATTGTACTAATATATAAGTATATTAATTAATATACTTTCATGACAAGTTGAAAAATAGTTTTTCACTTTTTCTAGGAAATTTAATTTTTTTAATTGTATCTCATTTGAAGTAAAAAAGCGATATGTGTATACCTATATATGTATAAATAATAAAATAGGTAATTTTATTAGAATAAGAAAATATATATTATATGTAGCAGATTAATAATTATCCTATGTACTAAATTAATAATTTTTTTCCGAATTTATAAATATGATTCTTTCTATCATATTCATTCAATTCTTATCTTTTTTTTTTTTTTTAGAGAAAAATCATAAGTAACAGATTGCGGAAGGAATTGATTCAATCAAGCTCGATTCTACCGGGTGTCCCGTGGATCGCACGTGGAAGGAGCTTTCGCGATTATTTACGCCTAGCGGCGCGTCATCTAAATTTAGACGAATTCAGTTAGGTTGGTTACTACATGACTCTTGAGTCAGCAACATGCAAATTTCTGAACGCAAGCCAAACCGACTTCTCGTGTCGAACGACACGTCGTCTCACGATTACACGAGACTGTCCGCGAATTATCCGCCTGTTGCGATATATATGTTCGTACCTCGCGATAGCGTGCGTTCCTTTTACGAAATCATCGCCTTGACCGATAATCAAGGCCACGATTGCAATCGTTATTGGAGAAATCACAACTTCGACTCGCTTACTCAGAGAAAATGTTATGCGATTTATACAAGGTGAAGATGCGCTTCGAGTCACATTCGAGTGCAATTTATCTTACTTGACTTCTACTTTCGATGATGTTTGTTATTGCATTTAAATCCAGCTCAAATAAAATTGCTCGTTGAATGATATGGATGCATTTTCTTCGTTCGCAAAAAATATATGTGTTCTTTCTCTCCTTATTTTTTTCATAAAAAATCTACATAATCTATTTAAATTTTAAATACTAGGCACAACAAAAATATTGTTCTGGTCGAAGCTGGAAGCTCTTTAATGCTTAAATAATTCAATGATTTTAATAATTCAATACATTGAATTATTTAAGCATTAAAGATCCAGCTTTGACCGGTATATATAGGCATTTAATTTCTAGTTTGTTCTTGGTTATGTTCTCACATATACGGTCTAAAAGATTCTTACTGTTAAAAATATTGTTATATTTAAATATTTTATTAATAGAGACACTGAATTAAATATTTCGTTTAAGTTATAATTAAAGCCTAATCTACAACGTATTCTTTACTTTTTGTTTCTTCTTTTTATCTCTTGCTCTTTCCCTCTTTCTTACGACTGTTTTATCAACAATCATGTTTCTTGTTAATTACGTTCTTGTCTCTTCTGAAATTCAATTTTTATTTCTGGTGACAACAAAGAAATAAAATAAAAGGCAGAAATGCAAGAAATAAAAAATAGCAAAATGCAAGAAAAAGGAAGCAAAAAAGCACATTATAAATTAAGCTTAAAGATGTATTCAGGAATCATTTCGACAATTTGCAACGATTCGGGCTGAGTCAGTCACAAATTCCACATTTTAATTTTGTTGATTTTAACTTTGTCAAGCGAGAAAAATGTCCAGTGATGTCTTCAGATAAGTACATTTTAAGTTTTGTCATCATTCATCGAAGATCCGTGTCAATTTTGTCAAAAAGGAAAATCGAGGAAAATCGAGGAATTATATTTGTCATGCACGCGCAGTTTTCTCCGATACTGTTGTGGAAAACGTAATGTACGCGCGTGTCAACGACCGCAATCGTGCCTTTACCCGCGTGAGTTTCCGCACGTTGCCGTAACTTCGTGCCAAATTATTCGACCGCACCCACAAAGTCTTTCTCTTGGTCCTTTTGTTATCCCAACAAGAAAGGTCAGGCTTTTGGAAAGCGAGAACACCTTAACAAGCGGTTGAGAAGAATTTTCGTTCACTCACGTTCTGATTTTTTAATTCGGACCATTGCATTGTTTACGAACACAAAGGTCTGACCACGAGAATTGAAGAATATACAGCTGAACCGTGTGACACTGATCGTGTCCGTATTCACGCCGGGCAGGAAGTAATAAGCACGGAGAGCTATATAATTTTATACACAATTGCGGTTCTTTCAGTGGCGAACATTTTTGACGATTAATTACAAAGGGATACAATTTATCTTTTTATATTGTCCATTATTATCTATATATTTTCTATTATTTTTTATATTATTGTTTTTATATTATTATTCGTCTATGTTTTGTATTCTTTTCTATATCTCTCCGCATTTATTTCTAATGCTTTTCGTAAAAAACGCTATATTTCTTTTATTAAACATTATGCAGCAATAATTATTCCAATGTGATTCTCCAGGAACATTTTTGCATTTATTCAAGTATAAATATCACTTACTCTCGCAGCAGCGACGCTCTTCTCCGCCGAGACGCCGTCGAGCTCGACACGCGCCCTCGCCGCCGTTGCTGCGCTCTGTTCCTTGTATGAGACATCACCGGCTTGTAGGGCCCTCATTTCTGCACTATTCGCCGTCGCCTTTTCAGCGCTAAATCCATCCGTGACGACCTAACAAAAATCAGTTGATTATTAGACGTGAGGTCTGAATAAAAAAGCTAGCAAATTGATCTGAGGCGTATCGTGATACACGACACCGAATCTCGATGGTTTCTCACGCATGATACCTAAGGATAGGACTCGCAGTCCTTGACCTAGACTACCTAGAGGAAGCCGCACCTCGGCCGCCATTCGCTATGCATCTAACATCTCCGATGTTCGTAATGTATTAATAACATCTATCAAACGTCACCATTCGTTCGGTAAATTCAAGCTAAATTAATCGCGCAATTCTTATCAAATACGTATTTTTAGGTACTCGTTATTTTGCGGATAGCTTACTGAATGGCTCGACGAGAACACGTGCTGATAGCGTGCGCGAGATCGACTCCATTTTCAATATTATGAAATTCAGTATCGCCAGTAACCCAACCCAAGTTATTTTCATGTATTATATTCATGTATTATGTCTTTATTTTATTACTACACTTTTCTACATGAGATTCTTGATATCATTTTTTAAATTAAATTCTCAAAATCTGATAAAAACCTTTCACAAATCTTATAAGAATTATTCCTCATCGAACGAGTAATTATCAGTTTCTATTTATAGTAGACATAAAATCATATTCTCGATTTTATTTATATCCATTATTATTATAGTTAATTATTATTTATTATCAAAATTATTATTTATTATAAAAGATAGTTTTGGTCCAACTTTAAAAAATGTCTAGTATAGCAAGCATATTTAACATGACAAAATGACATAACATCTTAAAACGTCTGTAAGACTGTTCTTAAGATGTCTTATGTTTCAAATTCTGACAAGCATGCTGTTTAGACATTGTCATTTGGACTAAGTTATCCCATTTTATGATAATTATTTTTAAGATTAAATGTAAAATTTTTACAATTATTAATATAAAAGTGATACTCAAAAGGTGCTGGAGATATGAAGACAGGAAAATATCACTCACTTTTGTTTTTGAAGCGCTAGTCATTTTCTTCTGTTCGAACTTCATAGTTTCCTGACCAGCAGGTAGGTTTGGCATACTCGGTATATTCATCGGCGGGCTCATGCTGTGATGAAGATTGTTCAGCGAATTCAGGGAACTTAATTGGGACGGAGAACCGCCTGCTAATGTGACAGCATCGTTGACAGGTGGCGGCGTATCGGTATCCGGAAAAGTCACCAGCGGTTCTGTGAGATCGGTCTCTTCCGATCCACTGCCATCTCTGCAGAATTCCACAAAAAGAATTCATGAGCTATAATTAATGATATATTCTTATATTCTTATTTCTAGAGAATTCGGTTCGAATTGGATATGAATAAATGAGTGATGAAATTTTATTATGAATATAATTTTATTATGAATATAGAATCTTTTTTGATTAAGAAAAATCTAACTAATAATTATGTGTGTATGTAAAGTAATATAATAAATATATAAAATAAAAGTTAAATTAAATTAGATAAAATAGATGGAAAATAAATGTATATATGTGCTAATATATGTATGTGTAAAAAAGATTTTAAGACAAAAAAAAAAAGATTTTAAGACAAAATAAAAAGTGAAGCAATATTACACAAATTTTAAATATTTAAAAAATTATACTATTTAAACATATTCCTAGTGTTTTTACATAAGAGACACACATATAATTTACAAAAGCTAATTACTTAAAAAAAAACCACTTTAAACAAAGAACTTATGTTTTATATTTTTTTCTCGTAGGATAATATTCTATTTATATTTATTTTTATTAATAATGGATTACTTTATAAAGACGATTTGTCAATGAAATACTTACCTTTCTGCTGTGATATAACAGCAATGGAATATTATCTTATATTTCAAAGTACGTAAAACGACACGTGAGCAATATGTTAAAAATAATCTGACTACCACGAAAATAGCATACGAATCGAAATTATGCGTACACAAATATTCGCCGTTGACGTGTTTCAGAGCTTTCAGTTGTGAAAGCTTTAGTTGCGAAGCTAAAACGTGTGAATTTTTAGAAACTGAACAAAATGAATCACTGAGCTTTTCGTAACTAGTAGTTGAAGAAGTAACTTCCGAGAAATCTTCACATTTTCATGAAAAGATGAAATCAATGATTTTTTCAAATATTATTGCAACCAAAGTCATTAATTTTTTTTAATTATATATAACTGAGAATTACTTATAATGGCTTGAAATAAATTCTTAGTTATCAATTAACTCTCTTATATGCTTCATATTCATAGTAAAAATGTTCACTTTTATAATAAAATAATAAGTTATATCAATTTGATACTTTATATTTTAATGAAATATACACAAAACTTAAAAAATTTCGAAATAACCTGTTATTACATATAACACAATCCAAAAGTAAAGAATGTTTTTATAAATTATCATGTATATAGAAGAGAATTTTGAAATATGACTGCAACAAAACAAGGAACACATCGCAATGATGACATGTGAGATGACAGATTCGTCACGCTGGCACACTTGAAGATACTTTAAAAATATTAACTTTTTCTATAAGAAAATACATGAAATAATGCGTACTTTTCACTAAACACTCATATTGCATTATCCATTAAAACTTTTTCGAAAACGTCAGATCTTTTCACAATGAACATTGTTTCATCATAATAAACTCATATAAAGAATCACAATTATATTTAGTCAAAAATTAAGTCTATCTTTTAAGAATTGAATCTATTCTCAGAAATAATTTATTATTCTCAGAATTAATTTATTTGAGAATGAACCAACCTGTCTACGAGGTTCTCCATGCTGTTGCGCAGCCGTTGTGAAAAGTTGGTCGAGATGTTCTTCATCTCCGAGATACCGCGTTTGAGTTCCGTCAGATCACTTTTCATGGAGCTCGCCTTCATCTCACTCGACGAAGACGAGGTGAGAATCCTCTGCGAGGACTTGGCCACCCTGCTGCTCGTACTGCTGCTGCTGCTACTACTACTAGTACTGGTACTGGTGCTGCTACTACTCTGATGTTGGCTCTGATTTGTCGTCAGCATCTGCCGAGTCAAAAGCAGTTTTCATTCTATTTAAGATCCGTATAAGATGACTCACTCGCTTCGAATCTCCCGCTCCAAGATTCTCTTTATCTCTATCTCTCTTTTCCGTCTTTCTATTAAATATATCGAATTTGTAATCATTTATTTATTTCTTGATTTTATTCTTTAATTTTTTGAGAGATAGTCTTATTTAAATTTCTCTTTCTCTCTCTCGACATTTTTGTGTATTATACTTATGTCACGTAAGTAAGTTCTTTTTATTTTAATATAAAATAAATAAAAAAAAATTGTTTAATTGTTTTACTGCTATAAAAGTATAATTAGAAAAAATAATTTTTTTCATCGGCTTAATATTTGAAAACAATATAATAAATATAATAAAACTTTTCATATACACATTAAATGTGTAATGCATATGCAAATTATTCATTTTATTATATAACTATTCCTCTTTCTCTAAGTTTATTGTTATTAATAGTGAATATTTTCGATAATTCGACTATCATGACAAGATTTTCTGAATAATCTTTTTTTTTTTAAACTAAAGCCAGATATTTCGCTTTACACAAATGAAAAGTATAGTTCGAACAAATAAAAGAACTAGACAGGTTTAAAGGGAAAAATGTAAACAGCATCTGTTGTAGCAATCACAGCAATGACTGTTGGCGATAAGCCAAAAGTCATTACGATGTACGAGATGACTCGGCCAAACCTGGAGACAAAAAGGGCCTGGTAAATTTAGAAGGAGCAACGCTCTCTCGAAATGACGAGAGAAGGGACCTTGAAGCACAGTACCAAGGTTCACCAAGATTCTGCTGAATTAATCTTCAATGGAAAAATATGCACGTGGGCGGCTACATTGCGTAGTAAACGCCTGTAGTCGTTTTCGAGCTATCACTTCTGATTGCTCAATGATCGGAGATAGTTTGACAAGTGGTTTTGCTGGCGAGACGTGTAGCCACTTTAACCGCGACATACATGTCACACATGTCATGCATATAAAAATTCTTATGCACACAACGCATTTAATATTAAATATAATTTTCTTTCTGACTGAAATTTGATTTACCTTTAATTCTGATGTGACATAAAAAATCCAATAAACGAAAATGTAATTTATTTTATCATTAATTTTAATCAATGCTTAATTATCATTAATCCTTTTAGAAATTTCGACAGATTTGCCTATCAATTTTCTTTCCATCTATACCATTAATATTGCGCAATATCATAATCAACTTTTGCTATCTCACAATTAGCAATTTAATAAGAGGTTCAAAAATGTAATTTGTATTAATTATAGCTTTCCACTTAATTTTTTAAATTAGTAATCAAATATTAACAATCAAACTTTCTGAGATATTAATCTGACCGGTAATATACCTATCTGGTGATATAGAGAAATAAATTAGATAAGAATGTGAATGGCAAGCGTCAGTCAAGCGAATCAATTGACTTGCGCGAGTAATGACGATGATTATTATTTTAGGCGCTTTTAGCACAGATCGCGTCGATAATAAAAGCGTAACGGATGAATAATTCTAAATTTCTGTGATTACTTTCAGGAAATTCGTCTCAGATGTGGGCGTCGGAGGCGCCGGACACTTCATCTATAGCTGACGCAGAGAAGATTATATAGGAAGACAGATAGGCCGCGTAGTCTTCACAGGTACTTCTTGAATTAGAAGAAACAATCTGCGAAGAAGATGACGATCGTGTTTTCCTCGTAATAAGAATAGATTGCGCACTTCTGCGAAGTTGTCACAATCGAAAAGAGTGAGATATAGCTCTTTTTTCTTTTTCTAAATTTCTAAAGTACCAAGTTAAAAAGAGACAAAATTGAAGAAAAATGATGCTGTTACAATTCTTTCTAATGGAGCACAGATACGGAGATCAGAAAATACACATCTATATCTATTACGTCTAGGATTTTCCCCGAAGTAGCAAGGCCAAATAAATATTGCAGCATATCGCAACTCGCTTCTGCTAAATGTTCACAAAGATGCAAAATTGCGTGAAGTGTAGGTCTTTGGATTTAAATTCCATTCGAAAAATACAATCGTGCGTAAAACATTTCGGAGTTAACGTATTAATTTATTGCGAACAGATTAATTCAATGTACCGAATTTAGTGCAATTAATAATTCAATAATATAAAAACGTGAGAAAATGCAGTTTCCGATTTAGAATTTTACGATTTAGATTCTTCGATATAACTTCGATATAACTCCTCTTCTCCCATACTCTAAAAAAATCTCGGTGTAGATTTAACATCATACGATATTTGTATAATTCTCACCATGTTAATGTTAATCTTAAAACTAGCATGATATGGATTTAAAACTTACAATGTTATATTAATACAGTGAAAATTATATAGACACTGTATGGTATTAAATTATTAATTTATTAATGTATTATACAATTATTAATAATTTAACGTATTAATATATAAATAATTTAACATATAATGATACATACAATATAATGCATCATATATATTATTATATTAAATTATTAATCGTTTTTTTTTTTAAATGCATTGATATTTTTCGTTAAGAAAAAAATCTGTCCTCTGAAGATTTTTAGTTTTGCACAAATAGATTTTCAAATTCATTTCAGAAAAATAACCATATCTCTCGCATGTTAATTAACAATAAATACGCGGAACATACTGCGAGAAGAGACGTGTATTGAGTCCTGCGAAAATATTAGTGACTGAAATACAAGTGACGCGTCTTTCCTATTTTTCAAAGAATCGCAACATTCGAGAAGCGCGCGCAAATATTTGATAGTCAAAGAAAGAGAGACAACAAAAGTCCGAGTTGGAGATAATCACCTGTGATGACGTGGTGGTGACCTGCGGATGATGCGTGACGTGATGCGTCCTGCCAGTCACCAGGTTTTTCTTTTGAAAATTCTCCATGGCAGTATGCATGTTTTCGCCTCCTTCCACCGGGAATTCCGACATCTGCAACGGATAGTATTATCATCAAAATGAATAGCAATCAGGATATTTAAATATTTATTACAATAAAATTATATGTAGACATTTATTTTATTTGTGATGGAGACGTGTTAACGATCGTGTGTACGGATGTTTTAATTACGCGTTAATCAAGTTGGCGCAGGAATTCGCCTTCTGCAAGGGCCTAATAATAGGCTCTGGGAAATAATTGGCAGCTCGAGCTTGGCGAGACTAGAAAGACTAGTGAGTTCTCGCAGTAGGTTTTCGCGTTGCTATCGGACTGCACGAAAGTATGCACGAAAGTATACGCTGAGTGCGTAAACGAGAGCGATATATGCGAAGCCCACGCGTACGTTAATAAAAAGCTCGATCAAGAAATCACGCGCGATCGAACCCGGATCTCTCGATAAAACGCTCCGATTCCTAAAGGTGATCAAGCTTTCCAGTCTCGCGTAGAGCGCCGATTTGCCGTCTACGTATGATGGAATACTAATTGTAAGCTCGCTGACGGAAATACTATCGAGAATGCTCGAGGCTGCTTGAGGTCGATATAAATGTTCGATAAAACTCGACAGTTGTACTTCGCCATTGTTCAGCCTGCATGTGATTACATAACAGAACGGTTCTGAAAAAGCTAGCAAGAGGATTTCATAGAAAATAATTAACACATGGAAATATAAAAAAATGTAAATTTCGTTTTTAAAAATGATTTTAAATATATCACCCTTTTGTTCTTTTCTTCGTGGTCAGTATTGAGTGATTATATTCGTCGATATATCGATATATTTCGTATGCCGTATAAATTAAAGGCTATCAATAAAAAAGCAAGATAATGTCATGTAGAAACCTTTTAACTTCAAAATAAACTGCACTTAAATTTAATAATTTCGACGAAAGAGTTACACGCTGTCATTATATCGTTTATATGTTGCACAATGCACATATAATTTTACGACATAAACAATGTAGTGTTAAGTAAGATCGCAGTGGCGTAACTTTCATATTTTTATAGGAAGGAACGATATATAATTCGAAGGACCTCATCCAAATGTTACATAGTGCTCACAGCATATATATCTTATAATATTATCAATTAAATTTTATTTATTTTAATAATTACGAGAGCAACTGGGCTACTTTAATTATTTCTAGTTTATTACTTTCTTAATTTCTTCGTGCAACATTAAATACATTTAATATATCGCATAAAGATCACTCCTTCGATTCTTACAATTGCGAGCGCACTGTGAGATGTGTGCCAAAATACAATACATCGGCAAAGTGTGCACCAATTGTTGCACTCTAGGAGCTCGTTTCGCGGTATAAATGCAATTATACAATCGGCACAAGTGCAACTATCGCGAGACGTGCGTGGATGGGCGATACGTTACATTCCGTCCATTCTTTTGATAATTCCGCGGGATTTGCATAGGCGTGGGTAAAACTCGGACGCGTGCAATACACGAGATGCAATATCCGGTATCTTTCAGAAAACTGACCGACGTAAAGCCGGTTTAACTTTACCTTTTCGCACAATAATATAATTTCAATAAAATAATTCTAATAAAATATAATTTTCTTTACATATTAAAATTTTAGTTTTTATTTTAGTTTTCTCTTCTAAAAAGAAAAATAATAACATAATATTTGTATGCGTTCTATGATATTAAGTCAACTTTATGTGTATATTTTATATTTATAAATAATTTAAAAAATTATTAAACTCTGTGGGTATTTTTGGAATATGTAGGAGATCTAGAATTAAGCATAAATGCTCAAAAAACCAGAATGCTCCAAAAGCAGGTATCATGTTTAAGTCAAGGACCACAATTCTTTCCAATCAAACAGATAAAAACCGGTCCTAACTAAAGACTCTTAAATATTGTCCAAGTGTGAGGATCGAATCTCAAAAGAGATTTGTTATTTTCCACTTTGGAGTGCGTATTTAACAAGTTGAGATTAACGCGAAAAAATTTCAAGTTGATGAAAATGTTAGAAATAACTCAAAAATTCCGTTGTCAAATTTAACAAACGTTTAGATCAAGTTACTTTTTGAACGCGATCGTACGGAAATCTGAAACTGAACATTCGCTCTAGGGAGTATATCTATCAGCCGCGTATCTCTCGCGCGGCTGATTGACGTGCTGTTCCTAGACAAAGACAAACCGGCGTGGTATACTCGAAAGAAGAGGAAGCGAGGATAACTTCTGCTGTTATCGCTTCTGCTGTCTCCGATAATGCAACACACGGACTAGCTATTTCAGGATCTACAGCGTTAGAAATGTGGGAAAGGAACTCCTGTTTGGAGATCGATAGGGACTTCCCCGAAACATTCGCGCTGCAATTCGAACTCTGAAGTGTCGAACAACCACGTTTTTCTAGCCAATCGTCCTGCAAACATGACACTCGGAAAAAGACAAGGAGGAGGGGATGGAGAGAGAAAGAAAGAGAGAGAGAGAGAGAGAGAGAGAGAGAGAGAGAGATAGAAAGAGAGAAAGCGGAGTGCACACCCAGCTGACACCTGGCTGGCGTCCGATCGCCACGTAGCTCACGCGTCTTCCTGGCGAGAGCTCGACGATGAGAATCGAGAAGAGACGGTCCAGAGGATGAGCGGACTGCGCGTCGAGCAAATCACAGAAGAACCGAGGTCGCGCGGACGGATAGTACGTCGCGTTTCGGCGTGCCGGCGACGGCGATTGGCACAAAGAGCGACGACACAAATTCCACAATCGACAAGCATCGCACACGCCGGTCGCGCTCGCACTGAGGAGGAGTAACGGACGGTACCGCGCGTACGATAGCGACACGCTGGTCACATGGCACCGCCGGTCACGTGACACCCCTGGACGCCACCGCCGCGAACTTACGAACCGTGCGCGCACGTGATCGCCGGTGAGTTAAAGGGACGGGATTTAAATGGAAGTTATGGCTAGTTCTATTCTATTATTATTCATAAGTTCTACTTTTGCTTATCATCTGCATCGGAATCTTCTGTCTGAAATTAATTAATTAAGTCGAAAAGAAATTTAATAGATCTCGATCAGATAAAGAGAGACAAAATTTAATAGATCTTGATTAGATAGAGGAGCAACGAAAATGATTAAATTGAAGTAATGAAAGTAAGATTTAAATTGTAGTAAAATTCTGCTGCAAGTAAATATTAATTTTGAAAAAGATAAATGAAAAGATTATATGATAAATATAAATAAATAAAATATAGAGATTAAATTAGATTTCTTTTATTAAATTTCTTTTATGGATAATAAGATTGATTAAAAGATTGATTACAGAAAAAAAATGAATGAGATCAATAAAGTTTTACTCGAAAAAATTAAAACGAAAATTGATGACATCAAGCATGGATTGAGGAAACATTCTAATTAACGCTGCGATTCTGGGAAGCTTATGTTCCATAAAAATAAGATTTTTCGATCTCGATTAAGAGCATAACCCCCAGTGAGGCAAGTGGGACGACGATAAATAAACTCGATTCCTAGAACGATGACAGTAAAGAGACGACGTTTTTTGTCAGCGCCGTCGTTGCAATGTTATGTAAGAAGTCTCTCTCTTTTTCTCTTTCTCTCTCTTTTATCCGGTCGAAAGTACATCTAGAGAAGTGCTTTTACAATAAACCACTTGATAGAAAGTTTACGAGAGCGCAATCTGAAAAAATCATTAAGGAAACCTATTATTTCATTCATTTTTCCGCGCCGCCTTTCATTGATCAAAAATGCAAATCGTGTGTTAATTAAGATCACCGCATATTTCCCGTATTTCAGCGTATTTCTCAAATAAAAAAAAAAGATAAAATCCAGTTGTTTAGGGTTTTTTAACAAGATTGTGACGGCCCTTGAATGATTTATAATCAAAAGGAATGTCGGATCTATCTTATCTCTCTAATTCGGGGCAGGGCACAAAATACCACACGAAGAATTTAGGTCAGTTTCTTCGAGATATCGAATACAAACAGGTCTTCTTGAGACTTTCGTGCTCTGTGTTATTCAACGTTTTCGTATTTTAATTTTCAATTTTTTTTAATTTCGAATTTAAACTTCAAAACTTTAGTAAATTTGATGAAAATTTTAGAATTTCACGAAGCTCAAAAACGTGGAAAAGAACTCTCCTTAGCTCTATCTCTTCGGCACACGAATAATCTTCCGAAGCTTCTTTGTCAAGGTCTCTTTGCGGAAACTGCTTAGTTTAACCACTGTAAATCAGTATTGACTACGAAGTGACGACCGCGAAGAAGCTTAACACTGTCTGCGAGGAAAGAGGGATACAAAGAGCGGAATGCAGTCCGGCGAGGTGCGTGAAGAAACTCGCAGTCGCGGAATTTCGGCGAAAGTATACCGGGTGTCCTCGATAGGCACTGAAGACTCTAACCCGTCCTGGCGGTCGCGTAGTTTTATACAAAATTAACACTCAGTTCGACTCTAATATTATTTCAATTAAATTTAATTAAAATAATTCTTCAACATTTTTCCGCGGATATTTGTATCTGTAATTTTAACGATTCTGATTTCTTATTAACACTTAGCAATATAACTTTTGGAGATATTATTGATAATATTTTTAATTAATAATTTTGTAAATAACATGGTCTGATAATAAAATTCTTAAACTGTAATAATAAAAAAAAACACAGACATCTCAGATAACAAAAGTTATATTTTATCTTCCAAAGTAATTCCCCATGACATCAATACACTTAACACATTTTTGATAATAAGTCTTAAGTTTTTTTAAGATCCGTAGTTGGAAACTACTGTTCAAAACGCTCACATTCCTTTGAATGTTTGAATTCGACGTTTTAAAAATGTTTACCTTTTATGTTTTTGAGCTGTAGAAATAACATGAAAAAGTCAGATAAAGAGGATGACTAATCTCAACAACCCCTTTCTTAGCCAAGAAAGCGTGACAACGACCTTACACACAAAGGAATCATCGTAAAAAATGTTTTTGATTAGAAATGAGTTGTTGAGATTAGTTACCCACCAAATCTA